GTTGAAATCTGATATGCGGTCACCCCCATGATGGGATCTGCTGAGTGGTATGGGTGGGGGCGGGGCCTGTGGTGGCTCACTGCCCCCTCAGTCTTCATCGCTTCGTCCTCTGCTGGATACTTCCTTCCTGCTCGTCTTTCCAAGGTTTTTGGCTTGTTCCAGACCCAGCAGCTGCCTCTTGTCATCTCACCTCCAGTTGTTGGGACTTGAGCTAGCAGCTTACCTGTCGATCTTGGAATTCATCGATCTTCACAGCCTGCGGGCAAGAATCCTGTTCCCCGACCTGCTGATCTTGGGTTCGCCAGCCCCTACAGCTACGTGAATCAGGAGAAACCTTGCAGTCTTGTCTGATGATCTTGGAATTCATTGACCTTCACAGCCTGTGAGCAGGAGCCCTGCTCTCCGACCTGCCGACCTTGGGTTTGCCAGCTTCTGCGGCTGCGTGAATTGGGAGAGGCCTCTACAATCTTGTGAGCTGTTTCCTTGATATAAATCTCTCTCTACATATATTTATAGGCTTTACTGGTTTTGCTTATCTAGAGAACCCAGCCTAAGACATAGAGCTAATAAATGAATTCAGCTAATAAATGAATTCAGCAAAGTAGCAGGATACAAGGTCAATACAAAAATTAGTCAGGTTTTTATACATCAGCAATGAGCAATCTGAAAAGGAAATTAAGGAAACAATTCAATTTACAGTAATTTCTAAAAGAATAAAATACATAAGAATAAATTTAACCAAGGAAATGAAACACTTGTACACTGAAAACTATACAACATTACTGAAAGAAATTAAAGAAGACCTAAATAAATGGATGTTCTATGCTCATGGATTGAAAGACAATATTGTTAAGATATCAATACTACCTAAAGCAATCTATAGATTCAACACAATCCACATCAAAATTCCAACAGCCTTCTTTGCAGAAATTGAAAAACCAATCCTCAGATTTATATAGAATGCCAAGGGGCTCCAAATAACCAAAGCAATCTGAAACAAACAAAAAAAAAAACCAAAGTAGGAGGAGTCACACTTCCTGATCTCAAAACATATTACAAAGCTACAGTGATCAAAACAGTTTGGTACTGGTATAATGATAGACATACATAAACCAACTGAATGGAACTGACAATCCAGAAATAAACCTGTACATCTGTGGTACCAAGGGTGCTACGTCCATCCAATGGGGGAAAAATAGTCTATCTAATAAACGGTGCTGGGAAACTTGGATTTCCACAAACAAAAGAATGAACCTCGGCCCATACCTTATATGAAAACTAACTGGAAATGGATCAAAGATCTAAATGTAAGAACTAAAACCATAAAACTCTTAGAAGAAGACATAGGGGTAATGATAGATTTTAACAACCTAGATTTTAACAATGGTTTCTTAGATATGATACCAAAAGCACAAGCAACAAAAGACAAAATAAATGGACCTCATCAAAATTTAAAACTTTTGTTCATCAAAGGACTTTATCGACAAAATGAAGAGACAACCTACATACTGGCAGAAAATTTTGGGGAACCATATATATCTGATAAGGGTTTAATATCCAGAATATTTAAGAATCCCTAGAACTTAACAACAGAAAGACAACCCAATCAAAAAATGGGCAAAGGAGAAGAGACATTTCACCAAAGAAGAAATACAAATGGCAAACAAGCACATGGAAAAGATGCTATGTCATTAGGGAAATGCCAGTCAAAACCACAAAGAGATATCACTTCACGCCCACTAAGATGGCTATGATTTAAAAAAAAGAAGACAACAGATGTTGGCAAGGATGTGGAGAAATTGGAACCCTTATCCGTTGCTAGTGGGGTTGTAAAATGGTGTAGCCACTGTGGAAAACAGTTTAGCGGTTCCTCAAAAAGTTAAACATAGAATTACCTTATGACCCAGCAATTCCACTCTTTGGTATGTACCCAAAAGAACTGAAAGCAGGAATGCAAACAGATACTTGTACACCAAATATGACTGCAGCACTATTCACAATAGCTAAAAAATGCAAACAGCCTAAATGTCTATCTACAGATGAATGGATAAACAAAATGTGGTCTGTCCATACAATGGAATACTACTCAGCAAAAAAGAGAAATGAAGTCCTGATACATGCTGCAACATGGATGAACTCTGGAAACATACTGAGTGAAATAAGTCAGATACAAAAGGATAAATATTATATGATTTCATTTATAATATCCAGACGAGTATATAGAGACCAAAGTTTATTAGTGATTACCAGGGGTGGGTAGGAGGGAGGAAGGAGGACTTATTGCTTAGGGGACACTGAGCTGCTGTTAAGGGTGATGGAAAAATCTGGAAACAGATAATGGTGACAGTTGAACAACATGATGGATATAATTAATGTCACTGAATTGTACATGTAAAAAATGTTGAAATGGCAAATGTTTTGTTACATATAGATTTACCACAATTTAAAAAATTCACATAAAACTAACCATTTTAAAATGTGAAATTCCATCACCCCAAAAAGAAACGCCATACCTATAAATTCTACTCACCCCTTGTACCCTGGCAACCACTAATCTACTCCATTCCACCTCCCACTTGAAACCTTCTCTTAACTTCAGGACCCCACATTCTCTCCGTTTTCCTCTTACTTCACTGCTGGTTCCTATTCAGACTTCTTTGCCGACTCCTCCTCTTCTCCCAAACTCAATGCTGGAGTGCCCCAGGGTTCAGGCCTGGGCCTTCTTCTCTTCCCTTCCCTAGATACACATGCCCCTAGTTCTCATAGCTTTCAATACCGTCTTAATGAGGACAGCTCCAGAGGTTTTATCTCCAACCCAAATCACTCTCTCAAACTCCAGACTTGTACATCCGACTGCCTACTTTAAATATCCACAAGGATTTCTAACAGCCAGCTCAATGTCACACGCCCCCATGGAAATTCTGATCTCCATCGTAAAACCTCTCCAGAGTTGGCCCTCCCCATCCCTGCGGGGGCTGATAGCAACTTCAGCTGTTCAGGTCAGAACCTTGGTGTCATCCTGAGTCCTCTTTCTCTCACACCCCACATTCACATCTAGGAAATCCTGTTGGCCCGACTTTCATAGTATATCCATCCAGATTCTAACCACTTTACCACCTCCACTGTGACCACCTGGCTGAGTCACTGTCCACTCACCTGAGAAGCCAAGGTAGCCTCCATCTAGATCTCCCTAACTCATCCCTAACTTATCGCCTACACAGTCCCTCAAGGCAGCAGCCAGGGAGAGCTGATTAAGATGCCAGATTCTGACACCGTCCTGCTCAGGACTCCCCAGGGGCTTCCATCTCACCCAGAGGAAAGCCCAGAGCCCTTACTGCTGCCTTCCAGGCCCTGATGGTGTCAGCACAGCCACCTGAGTCCACATCCTGCCAGATTCTTCCTGCCCCACCGCTGGAGCCACACTCCTGTCACTCCCACCATGCATCCACCTCAGGACATCTGTACTTGTGGTTCCCTTTTTATCTCCTGTTGAAACTGTAGGATTAACTTCATCTTGAACAAAAGCTTTTGACTGATCTTATAAAGTTGAGAGGCAAAACTATAAGCTGGGACACAAAGAGGAGGTTAGAGTTGCAACTCTAAGACAAAATCATTATTCATCCACCAATGGAAGGACAGCTAGAGTGCTAGGTGGTGTGGGAACAGCATGAGCAAACTCTATTTTAAAAAAGAACAAAATAAAAACCTCCCTAAAGTGAAAGAAACTTCAAGGCTAGTGGCAGCCGGTCCCTGGGTGGGCAGGGACCTACTGGGTGTGTGCCTTTATTCAACACAACAGCTACACACCCCAGCTACAGTTAGTGACCACTGATGAGGACAGGCGCTTTACATACGTTATCCCATTTTATCCTCACAACAAAGCATGCGATACATTTTACCGATGAGGAAACTGAAGCTCAGTGAGGTACAGCAACTTGTCCAAGGCCACTCAGCTGGTAGATGGCAGAGCCACAATTCCAGCTTAGGTCTGTGTGTTTCCAGAACCCATATTCTCTTCACTAGGGCCCACTGTCTCTCTTAGCAGAGCTGAGGGAGTTTGCAACCTCTACTAGGTGACTGAAGTTCTTAGGTGGTGTAAATGGTTAACATGCTCAGCTGCTAACCAAAAGGCTGGCTGTTTGAGTCCACCCAGAAGCACCTCGGAAGAAAGGCCTGGTGATCTACTTCTGGGAAAAAAAAGCCATTGAAAACTCTGTGAAGCACAGTTTTACTCTGACACACATGCTATAGAATTAATAGCAATGAGTCAGGGTTTGGGACTAGGTTTGGGGAGGCCTGAGGGGGGTGGGACTGGATGTTAGGTGAGGTCACAGGAGGAGAAGTCAATTTTAGGGCAGGAATGCAAAAAAACAAAATTTAATGTCCTGCTCTTGTACTATGTCTCATATAAAGCATATGTCTCATTTCACCAGCTAAACCCATCTTCAGGGGGTTTCAGCAAACTGTTAGAGCAGCGGACACTGGGCTGGGGGTACGCTGAGCAGACCCCTATGAGTGGGCCTCTTCTGGCTCAGACCCTCAGGGTCATGGGCTGAGGACCTGCAGACAGGACCACCACGTCCAAGCCAAGCTGTCACCATGGTGCAGGGTTCGCCCCAGGCAGAGGCAGGCCTGTGTGTTGGGCACACACTGGACACCAGGTGCCAGGTGCCGGGCCGAGCTCACACTTGGTAAAACATGTGCTTGTTGTTTGGGTTTACAAGTGCCATTCCTCTAGCTGTGCAAGAAAAAAGGGAACACTCTTGATGATTTTCTTTCCTCAGCTGAAATAACATGTTTCCATCCAAAGACTAAAATGACTTACACATCTAATGATAGAATATAAATAAGCAGTAAATCTTTAAATGCTGTAGTTTCTACTACAAAACGTTCAGTGAGTTAGTATGCTCTGGAGAATAAAAAAGAACACCTTACTGAATCTCTGGCTCCCCTCCAGGTGTGTCAGAATGAAGACGATTCTCTGTTTTCTTATATTGCAGCTGGTTTTCCTTGAATTCTTTGAAGCTCTCTTAAGCTTTGCACTCATTGCTGTTACTGACCAAATGACTAAGTCATATATCAATCCAAATGAAGAACTGTCTGGAAACAGATACGGGAGTACACAGACCCCAGCAAATCAGGTAACAAGTGATTTCTCAGAGCGTACAGAGTAAAGAGCTATTCCGGAATGGTTAAACCTGCATCAGAACTGCCTTGGGCTCTTGTAATCTTCCAGCAGGACTTTTTTAAAAAATAATATTTTATTGTGTTTTGGTGAAAGTTTATACAGCAAGATTAGGTTCCCATTCAACAGTTTTTACACAAGGTGTTCAGTGGTATTGGTTACATTCTTCACAATTTCCGTTCTGGTTGTTCTGTTTCCAGTAATCTAGTTTCCCTGCTCCGTTACTGTCTCATCTTTTTTTTTTTTTAAGTAATTGTTGACCTTTCATCTCATATAGATGATTTTTTAAGGGAGTACGTACTCACAGGTGATATTCTTTATTTTGTGTGCCTATCTGTTATTTAGCTAAAAGGTGATCTCGGGATAGTTTTAGTTCAAGGTTTAAAGATTATTTCAGGGCAGTAGCCTAGGGGAGTCCTCTGGTCTCAACTCCAGGAAAGAATTTTAAGGTTTCTTTTCACCTTTTGAAAGGAGTGTGTTGTCTTTTTTCTTTTAAGTCAGGGAAAATGGATTTCCTGGTCTTGGCGCAGGTAGTAGACTCTTAGCCACGGCAGTGAAGGTCAGCGTGCCTACGGGTGTGCAGGGTGGACTAGGAGGCTCCAAACACCTGAGGTGTTTTACTATGAAGTGTGTCAGTTATACGTCTTGTTTACAAGGGTAGAAATCCTGTCCCGGAGGAGAGATGTCACGGGACAGCTGCTCAGAGCACACGAAACGCTAACCAGGTCACTGAGGACGGGGTCTGCTTACAGCCTGGGCACTCTGGCCTTTCCTAGCAGATCTCGAGGCATGGGGGCAGTGTCGGCAATTTACTGAAGGATCCGGCAGCTGGGTCAAATTGAGATGAACTGTTTTTTTGGCGGGGGTTTCAGGTCAGCAGGTGGGAAAGATTTTTTTTTTTAAATCACTATCGTTTGGGGCTGAGTCTTGGGGGATGTTATGGATTGAATTGTGTCCTCCAAAAATGTGTTGGAATCCTAAACCCTGTGGATGTAATGGAGCCATGGTGGCGCAGTGGTTAAAGCGCTGGGCTGCTAACCCAGAGGTCAGTGATTCGAACCCACCAGCCGCCATATGGGAGAAAGATGTGGCCATCTGCTTCCATAAAGATTATAGCCTTGGAAACCCCATAGGGCAGTTCTACTGTCCTATAGGGCGGCTATGAGTCGGAGTCGAGGAGTCGACTCAATGGCAACTCGGTTTTGTGGACGTAACCCCATTTGGAAACAGGGTTTCTCTGTTATGTTAAGGAGGCCATTATCAGTGTACATGTGTCCTAAGCCTAATCACTTCTGATTTATGAAAAGAGCCGATTAGACACAGGAGGAAAGACAAATGGGGGAAGACTGATGCCACGTGAAAAATTCCAAGGAACTGATTTAATGCTGGGGCTACAGAAGCTGAAAGAGACAAGATTCCCCCAGAGCTGACAGAGAGCCTTCCCTCGAGCGGGTGCTCTGAATTCAGACTTGTAGCTTCCTAAACTGTGGGACAATGGATTTCTGTTCTTTAAAGGCATCTGCTTGCGGTGTTTGTGTGCCAGCAGCACTAGAAACCTAAGACAGGAGCCAGGTGAGCCCCACGGCTGGGAAACTCTTCAGAGCTGCTCATACAAGAAGCCTTCTCACTGTTGTTTGCTGTCCAAAGAGCGTCTCTCACCTCTTGAATGTGCCTTGGACTCGTGTGCTGGGGCTTCATGTACCATTTCAGTGCCTTGCTGCCCACCACATCAGCCAATAGGCCTCCTCCAGGTTGAGTATATGACTGATGACTTCTCCAGGTTCTCCACGAGCTTGGTCATGGGTCACAGTCTGGGTCTGGGGCTTTACTCTTGGAGAAATGGATGTCCACCTTGAATTTATCCATGAGTTCATGGATGCCACCACCATGGGCTTCAATGATGTGGGTGCAAACATGCTGGTCCAGGGAACATCCTCAGAAACCCTCTGTTCAAGTTCGAGCCCAGTTTTCAATATGGCATTCCATATAACATCTATGTTCTTCTTACACCCTGTGACAATCATTTGGCCCAGGGGCTAGTTCCAATCATCCTTTTCTGGAAATTGGATGTTGGTGTCATGTTCCAAGCAAATCATGCTCCCTTTTGACCAATAATTTTGGGACTGTATTTGGGATCAACAGAGATGCTCAGCTTAAAACTGTTAAAGCCCAATCTTTTTGCTCAGCTTGTAGCAGCTTCACACATTCCAGTAATTTTAGGAGGCAATGTGGCAGAATTTTCTCCAGAGAGTAGACGGGTACACACACAGAGAGAGAAAGAGCTTTAGAGATCTGCAGAAGGCTCCCCTTCCGTTGTCAGCTGAGTGTATTGATGTGTGCACGTGTAAGGAAACTACTGAAGGCCAAGGAGAGACGTGGAATAATCACTACAGATCACACTGGGCTGGGAATACTTCACATCTCAAATACCAGAGTGGAGAACCCTCATTATATAAGGGGCACTGGGTTGAGTACTTAAAACGGTACTGCTTCAGTATATAGGTCAAATAACTAACCAGTTGCCATTGAGTCAATTCCAACTCATGGTGACTCCATGTGTCAAAGTAGAACTGCACTTCATAGGGTTTATAAAGCTGTGACCTTTAGGAAGTAGATCACCAGGACTTTTTCCGAGGTGCCTTTGGATGGGTTCAAACTGCCAACCTTTTTGTTGGTAACCTAGTGCTTAACTGTCAAATTAGCCCTCGACTAAAGGCTGCTCTGGCTCCACTAACAAAGCTTAAAAAAGCAAGCCTCAAAAGAAACTACTTCCAGGTAACTGCATCTCAGAAGAAAGCACTAAAACATTTAAATACCAAAAATAATTCCAGCACTCAAAATGTAAAATTTGAAATGTCTGGCTGTCCAGGCATGGACCAGCAATGTGAAGATTGCCTCCAAAACTGGAGGGTGACAAGAGACTGAAGAAAGAGGTGGGCAACTCCAGGGTGGCAGCAAAGAAGTTTATTAGGGAGACATATGAGGCAAGTCCTGGGTGGCAGCAGGACCAAAGCAGATCTGCACCCCACAGTGGGAGGGCAAAGGTTTTACAGTGGCAGTGGACAGTAGTGGCTCTATGCCGGGGGGCTTACACAAGAATGACTCAGCCAACTGTAGTGAACTAGCAGACCATATGAGGGCGCTCGTTAGGCTCTGCAAAGCCTGTTTTTCCTTCAGTCCACCCCTTGAGGCTGGCTCTTAGAAGCTGGCACGCTCCTCTTCTTGTGTGGTAGTATCAAAGACCTTGTTCCCTCCCCACCAGGAACAGATACAGAAGTGGGGTTAACCAGGCATTGTACAGTGCCCGCGCATGTGCGAGAGACAGAGAAAGTTACTGTGTGTTGAGAACAGGGGGCAGGCTTCTCTGATGATGAGGAACTGGAAGGGAGAAGGCAACCCAGTTCCCAGCCTCCCTGTCAGAGAATGCTCTGAGCCCAAGGCCTTTACCTAGGCAGCCTGGATGGGAGGCGTAGAGGCAGACCATTTCCCCCAACACTGGCATCCAGTGAAAAATAACCAGGCATGCAGAGAAGCAAGATATTATGACCCATAATAAGAAAAATCAGTCAACAGAAATAGACCCAGATGGTAGAATTAGTAGGCAAGTACTTATTATAAATATACTCCATATGTTCAAGAAGGTAGAGGAAAACATGAGCATGTTAAGGAGAGGCATTACGGGTGTGAAAAAGACCCAAATTTAACTTGTAGAGTTGAAAAATACAATGTCTGAAATAAAAAACACACTGGATGGTGTGGCTAATTGCCTCCATGAACAACTGCCTCCTTTACCACGAGACAAGAAGAACTGGATGGTGCCTGACTACCATTACCGAACATTTTAATCAAAGAGTCTATAGAAGAGTCCTGATCAAAAGGGGGGAAATGCAGAACAGAATTTCAAATTATCTTGGACTCCAGACTTTCTGGAGCCACGGGTGCTGGATGAACCCCTGAAACTATTGCCCTGAGATAATCTTAAACCTTAAACCAAAAATATTCCCAGAAGTCTTCTTAACACCAAACAATAGCTTAACTAGTAAAGAATTTCTGCCTTGAGCACTATGCTCTTTTAAGATCTATCTATATGGAATCAAATTGACAACAGCAACTCGAAAGGTTAGATATGAAGCTTAGGGGGCAGTGAGTTTATGTTAACAGTGGATGAACAACTCAGAAAATGAGAGTAAGAATGGTTGCACAACTCAAAGAATGTAATCAGTATCACTGAATCGTACATGTAGAAACTGCTGAGTTTGTGTATGTTCTGCTGTGTATATTCTCAACAACAAGAAAAATAAATTATAAAAAAATACACTAGATGGTTTTAACAGCAGATCAGACTCTAGAAAAGATTAGTGAATTTGAAGGCATAACAATAGAAACAATCCAAAACAAAAAACACATAGAGAAAAAGCACTGGAAAGAACAAGAAAAGCATCAGAGGGCTGAGAGACTTTAAGCAGCTTGGCATATGTGTAATTAACATCCTAGATAAAGGGAGGGAACAGAAAAATTATTTAAAGAAATAATGGCTGAAATTTTTCCAAAATTGTTGAAAACTATAGACCCACAGATCCAATAAGCTCAACAAATCCCAATGGAAGAAATATGAAGAAGACTACATTAAGGCACATCATAATCAAATTGCTTTAAACCAGTGATAGAAAATCTTAAAAGCAGCCTGGGATAAAAGACATATAATGTATAGAGGAACCAAAATAAGAATGACAACAGACTTCTTGTTGCAGTGGTGCCAACATCTTCAAAGTACAGGGAAAAAAAAACCGTGAACCTGGAATTCAATACCTGGCAAAATTATGTTCTAAAGTGAAGGTGAAATACTTTTCAGACATATAAAAACTGAAAGAATTCACTACCAGAAGACCAGCCACTACAAGAAATGTTAAAGGAAGTCCTTTAGGCAAAAGGAAAATGATACCAGATGGAAATCTGGACCTTATCAAAGGAATGAAGAGCACTGGAAATACTATGTGGATTAATATAAAATACTTTTTTTCTTTGTTTTTAAATCTCATTAAAAGATAACTGACTCTTTAAAGCAAAGATAATTAACAGTGTTTGTGAGGTTTATAACGTGAAGAAGTATGACAATAGTTCAAAGGCTGGAAAAGGGAAAATGGAAGTATACTGTTTTAAGAATTGAGAAGGGGCAGTGGTGGTTCAGTGGTAGAATTCTCACCTTCCACACAGAAGACCTAGGTTCAGTTCCTAGCCAGTGCATTTCAAGTGCAGCCATCACTTATCTGCAGCTGGAGGCTTACATGTTGCTATGATGATGAACAGATTTCAGCAGAGCTTCCAGACTAAGACAGACTAGGAAGAAAGGCCTGATGATCTACTTCCGAAAATCAGCCAATGAAAATCCTATAGATTACAATGGTCCAATCTGCAACTGATGATGGGGATGGCGCAGGACCAGGTAGCGCTTCATTCCATTGTGTGTGGGGTCACCATGGGTCAGGGGCTGACTCAATGGCAGGTAACAACAACAATATAAGTGAAGGGGTGTAATATTACTTGAAAGTGGACCGTGGTAAGTTAAAGGTGTATACTTCAAACTCTAAAGCAACCATTAAAACACCAAAACAAAGAGTTCTGGTTAATAAGTCAGTAAAGAATGTGAAATGGAAATTATTTAAAAAATGCTCAATCAATCCAAAAGAAGGCAGAAAAAGAAAACAAAGAACAGATGGGACAAATAGAAAACAAATAGCAGGATGGTAGCTAATTGCTTTAAATGTAAGTGATCTAAACATCCCAAATAAAAGGTAGAGACTGTCAGACTGAATAAAACATCAAGGCCCACCTATTATGGGTCCACAGTAAATCCACTTTAAATATAAAGACAAATAGATGAAAAGTAAAAGTATGTGAAAAGATATACCATACTAATACTAATCAAAGATAGCTGGAGTAGATATATCAGACAAAATAGATCTCAGAGCAGAAATGTTACTGAGGGATAAAGAGGGTCATTTAGTAATGATAAAGGGGTCAATTAAGTAAAAGGATATAGTAATCCTAAATGAGTACACATGTTTATTTAACAGAGCTTGAAAGTACATAAAGCAAAAACTGATAGAAGAGAAAGAGAAAATAGACAAATCTACAGTTATAGTCAGAGAGTCAATACCTTTCTGTCAATAATTAATAGAGCAAGTAGACAGAAATCAGTAAAGATACAGAATATTTGAATGACACAATCAACCAACTCGACCTACATGACAACAGCAGAATACATGCTCTTTTCTAGTACAGATGAAACATTTACCAAAAGACTGTAACCTGGGTCATAAAACAAGCCAGATAGTCAAAAACTGCAAACAACCCGAATGTCCATCAAGATAAACAAATTACATTATATAGTATGTCTTAGTTATGTAGTGCTGCTATAACAGAAATACCACAAGTAGATGGCTTTAATAAACAAATTTATTTTCTCAATTTAGGAGGCTAGAAGACCAAATTCAGGGCACTGGCTCTAGGGGAAGGCTTTCTCTCCCTGTCAGGTCTGGAGGAAGGTCCTTGTCTCTTCTGAGCTTCTGCTCCTAAGTGATCTCCACGTGGCTTGACATCTCCCTTCCCCCATCTCTGCTTGCTAGCTTGCGTTTAATTTCTTTTATATTTCAAAAGAGATTGAGTCAAGGTGTACACTACACTAATCCTGCCTCGTTAGTAGAACAAAGACAACCCATTCCCAAATAAGATTATAACCACAGGCATAGAGGTTAGGATTTACAACACATATTTTTGGAGACACAATTCAATCCATAACATCCCACCCTTTGGCCCCCCAAAATTCATGTCCTTGCACAACACATATATTATATCACATCATCCCAGATTCAAGACCTCATCTTCTGAATCAACTAAATCAAATAATGGGTGAGACTTTAGGTATAGTCCATCCTGGGGCAAAACTGGTCTTCACCTGTGAACCTGTGAAATCTAGAATACTCGTTATCTGCTTCCAAAATACAGTGGTAGAATGGTCACAATGTATACATTTGTATTGCAAATGGGAGAAACTGGAGAGAAAGAAGGGATAATGGGCACCAAGCAAGTCCAAAACCCAGCAAAACAAATTACATTAGCTCTCAAGGCTTAAAAATAATCTTCTGTTCTTTAAGACCATCTGGGCAGTGGCCCACTCTCCAGACTCTGGGTGTTGGCCACACCCTCTGGATTCTAGGTGTAGGTCCCTCGGCCCTGGGCTTCAGCTCTGCCTTCCAGGCCCACTGGGATAGCAACTCTGCTCCCTCGGCTTTGGGCAGCCCCATTCTCCTAGTTCATCTGAGCGGTGACCCCACCCCCTCTACCCTGTTTTTCTGTCTGTTGGGCATGGCAGCCCTGCCCCCTCAGCTTTGGGCAGCAGCTCCATCCCCCTGGCACACAATGGTAGCCACACACTCCAACTCTTTGAAACCTAGAAGGCTGTGGCCCTACCCTTTGAAACCGAGAAGTCCCTGCTTCCCACTCTCCTTCCAACTGTTCTGCTGATCTCTGAGCTGTTCCAGGGATGGTCCTTTTCTTTTCCTGGAGGACAACAGATACAGCTCCTTTGGCCTGTTTCCTGCCTGTAGAATTCCAAGAGGCAGACAGTTTCCTTTTGTCCTGTCTCTGACCCCTTCAGTCTAAGCTGATGGCTTTTCTGCTGTGGTAGGTGGTTAGATCCATCATTCACAGGCTTAATCTCTTTAACAAAAGATTGTGTAGCCACATCCTTGATGAAAATTCTAGGACACATGTCCTTAGTTTGTACAACAGAATTTTCCAAATCTTTAAGTTTTCATTTTGCACAGTTCATTTTTAAGTCCATCTCTTTCCTCTCTCATTTTACTATAAGCAGTAAGGAGAAACCATATGGCCCCTTTAAGATCACGCTTAGAAATCTCCTCAGCCAGATATCCAAGTTCATCACTTACAAGTTCTACCTTCTACCAAACATCTGAACATAATTCAGACAAATTATTTGCCACTGCATAAAAAGCATCACCCTTCCCTCATTGTCCAGTCACATTCATCATTTTCTTTTAAAGCCCCACCAGGAGCACACTTAACATCCACATTTCTAGCAACATTCTGTTGCTCCTGCCATATGTATTCTCCAAGACAACAGAGACTTTCTCTATAGCTCTCCTCACTTCCTTCTAAGCCCTCATCAGAATCATTTTTGACATCCATAATTCTACCAACAGTCTCTTCAAGGCAATCTAGGCTTTTACTATTAGTCACCTTAAAACTCTTCCAGCCTCTACCCATTACCCAATTCCAAAACCGCTTCCAAATTTTAAGTATCTATTAGAGCAGCACCCCACTCCTGGTACCAACCAAATCCTGTCTTAGTTATGTAGTGCTACTGCTACTATAACAGAAATAGCATAAGTGGATGGCTTTAACAAACATAAATTTATTTTCTCACAGTTTAGGAGGCTAGAAGTCTGAATTCAGGGCGCTGGCTTTAGGGGAAGGCTTTCTCTCTCTGTTGGCTGTAGAGGAAGGTCCTTGTCTGTTCCGAGCTTCTGCTCTTGGGTGATCTCCATGTGGCTTGGCATCTCTCTTCCCCCATCTCTACTTGCTAGCTCTTGTTTAATCTCTTTTATATCTCAGAGAAGAGGTTGACTCAAGATACACCCTACACTAATCCTGCTTCGTTAACATAACAAAGACAGGCCATTCCCAAATGGGATTATAACCACAGGCATAGAGGTTAGGATTTGCAACACATTTTGGGGGGACACAATTCAATCCATAACAGTATATCATCAATAAATGAAGTTGTGATACATGGGGAATGAAAGCCAGAGAAGAAAGGGTACGTACTGTGTGAGTGCATTTATATAAAATTCTACAAAATGCAAACTAATCTGTAATGACAGAAAGCAGATCAGTGGTTGCCTGGGGGTGGGGGAAGAGGGATGGATTACAGAGGGGCACAAGGAGACTCTGGTGGATGATGAATATGTTTGCTATCTTGTATACATATGCCAGAACCCATCAAATAGTACACTTTTAAGTATGTGCAGTTTACTGTAAATGTCTCAATAAAATCATATATGTGTGTCTGTCTGTATGTATGTCTCTTGCTGTCTCTCTATCTCCATGTGTTCATCTTTGTGTAGAGCACTCAGAACAGGAGTCCAAGTGCAATGACAAGCCACGAATCTGATATCATTCATTTTGCCAGCGCCAAGTCGTCTTCAAGCAAGTTAGGACTCTTGTTTGATATTAGCAGACTCAGGAAATCAGAGGTTTGTATTTACCATTATCCAGGTAACAAACAGTGACATGGACGCAGTAGCAACAACCATTAAGCACCTACTGTGTGCTGAGCATTCTGTGCTCAGAATGCAGCAGTGAATAAAAAGCCGTTCCTCTCATGGGCTTTACATTTACATGCTAATGAGGAGAGACAGTGATAACATGCCAACAAGAGTTATCACCCCTGGTATTCACTCATTTAATGCCCCAAACAACCTTATGATTTCAATGCTGTTACCTCTACGAGGGACCCAAGGCAGAGAAATAACTTGTCCGTGGTGAGTCACATGGCTAGTAAGTAGTGGAACTGGGTTTTGTACCCAGGCAGCTGGACTCCAGAATTTGCACTGGTTACCACAATGCTAGTCTGTTTCACACTTACCAGGTATAATAAGTGATATGAAGAAAAGCAAGGGAGGCCAGGGAGATGGAGTTGCGGGGGGCGGGGTGGTAGTCATGGAAGCTCTTCGGATGAGGCGAAGAACAGAAGGAAGCAGCCTTCTGGTGGAAGACTGTCCTGTGCACAGGCCCTGAGGTGGCAGCGTCTTTGCGTTGCTGAAAGAGAAGTGTAGCAGCAAGTGCAGCCCCAAAGGAGTGGGCCAGGGAGATGCCTGAGCAAGGTGGTGGAGCAGACCAGCTGGACGTCTGGCCATGGTGAGACCTGGTGGTTACTCTGAGTGAGACAGCAGGCCGTCTTGGCAGGAGTCACTAGGCTGACTGCGGCTTCTGGGCTGACGAACCATAAGGAAGCTTGAGGAACTGTCCCATCAGAGGTGATGGTGATGGACTAAGGTGGGGGTAAGGGCTCGAATACAAGGTGCTTCGAAGCGTGTGGGGTTGAGAGGAAAAGAGAAGACAGAAATGAGCCTAAGATTTTTGGCCTGACCCACTGGAAGAAAAGAGCTATTTACTATGATGGGGAAGACCGGGGGAGGAACAAGTTTTGGGGGGAAAATTAAGGGGCTGACTTTGGACGTGTTCAGCTTAAGATGTCTGCTTAGATGTCTGTCCAGGTGGTGTTGCTGAGAGGCACGGCTGGAGACACAAGTTCAGAGGCAAAGTCTAGCCGGAGATAGAAATGGTGGCGCAGTGGTTAAAGTGGTTGGCTGCTAACCGAAAGGTTGGCAGTTTGAACCCACCAGCCGCTCCGCAGGAGAAAGATGTGGCAGCCTGCTTCCATAAAGATTACAGCCTTGGAAACCCTATGGAGCTATTTTCTCCTATAGGGTCGCTATCAGTCAGAATCTACTTGATGGCAACAGGTTTTTTGGTTACATGGTAATTAAAGTCATTATCCATGACTATCCCATACCACTACCAGTTGCCACTGAGTTGACTGACTCATGGCGACCCCTTGTGTGTCAGAGTAGAACTGTGCTCCACAAGGTTTTCAATGGTTGACTTTTCATAAGAACATCACTAGGCCTTTCTTCCAAGGTGCCTCTGGGTGGACTTGAATCTCCAACCGCTCAGTTAGCACTGAGCACTTAAACGTTTGCACCACACAGGGACACCTATACATAAATATGAGCCCAGTTAATTGTATATAATAAATATTGCCCCAAAAAGCCCAGCAAAGGTTTTCAAATCTTTAGGTTTTATGGGGGAAGGCTTTCAGTAGATATGATAACTCTGTAATCACTTCCTTAATAGTACAAATATTAACATTTTATGCAGGTTACAAATCGATAAATCAGCTCAGAGAGAATGGCCTTGTTAAAATTTTTCTAATTATTTATAATGCAGAAAACTCATTTTCATCCATAATGATGCAGAAATAATTTGCTTTATGATTTTTTTTATATAAAAGGCCAAGATCAAGAAGTCCATAAGTGAGGAAAAAATTTCCAGAATTAGTTTTAAACCTGCAGGAAAGGGGGTATCCCTTTTTTCATCTCAAAATGGTAAGTATTTTAACTCCAGAACTTCAATACTTGCAAACTGTTTTAACGTATATAAAGTCTATCAAAATCTACCATCTCTTTTTACATAATTGGAGCCCTGGTGACACAGTGGTTAAGAACTCGGCCACTAACCAGAAGGTCGTCAGTTCAAATCCACCAGGAGCTCTTTGGAAACCCTATGGGGTGGTTCTACTCTGTCCTCTAGGGTCGCTATGAGTCAGAATCTACTCGATGGCAGTGAGTTCGGTTTTTTTTTTTTTTACATAGGTAGGTTGGTACTGCTGCTTCTAGTTCTCCTCCTGGTTTGACAGAAGATCAGCACTGGTCAGCTGTCCCTCAGCCTGGGCACTGATGCTGATCTCACAGAACCTGATGCTGTGACTGTATCCTTACACAATTACCTTCTCTCTTGAGTCTCTTCCCCTTTGCTTTTGAAATGTGCTCAAGTTAAAAACAAGCAAAGCCTTATTCGATCCCTCGTAAAACCAGTTGCTGTCAAGTCAGTTTCCACTCACGGTGACCTCGTGTGCGGAGTAGAGCTGCACGCCATAGAATTTTCAAGCTGTGACCTTCTGGGTGTAGATCGCCAGGGCTTTCTTCTGAGGTGCCTCTGATGGGTTTAAACCACTAACCGTTTGGTTAGTAGCCGAGCTTTTCACTGATTGTGCCACCCAGGGACTTCTAAAAACAACAAGCAAAGCCTTATTCAATCCCTCGTACTCCTCTTAATATTATCCCTTCTTTTTCATACTAAAATGTCTCTAGAACTGTCTATCCCTGGTGATGTTATTTCCTTACCTCCCCCTCAACTCCTCAGCAATCTACTCTGGCTTCTGCATCACCTCTCTCTCCTTTCCTTAAAAAACAAAAACAAAACCAAAACTAGCTGCTGTTGATTCCAACACACGAGGACTCCATGTATGTGGAGTAGAGCTGCACTCCATAGGGTTTTCAAAAGCTGTGATCTTTTGGAAGTGGATCACCAGGCTTTCTTCTGAGGCATCTCTGAGTGGATTTGAACCGCCAGCCTTTCGGCTAGCAGCCAAGTGTGTAACCGTTTGTGCCACCCAGGGACTCCCTCCTCTCCCTAAGAGACCCAGTGCCTCCTTGTTATACATGTAGTGGGGATTCTCAGCATCGTCCTGCTTGTCCGCTCAGCTGCACTTGGCCTCCTTAAAATAATCCTCTCCCCACAAGGAAAGTATTAGCCCAAGAGACAAAGGGCCACATATACCAGAGACTTCATCAGCCTGAGACCAGAAAAACTGGATGGTGCCCAGCTACCACCAATTACTGCCCTGACAGGGAATACAACAGAGAGTCCCTGATGGAGCGGGAGAAGGGTGGGATGCAGAACTCAAATTCTAGTAAAAAGACCAGACTTAATGGTGTGACTGAGACTGGAGGAACCCCGGAAAGCATGGCCCCTGGATTCTCTGTCAGCCCAGATCTAAAACCATTCCCGATGGTCAACTCTTCAGACAAAGATTAGACTGGACTATGGGACATAAAATGATACTAGTGAGGAGTGTGCTTCTTAGCTCAAGTAGATACATGAGACTAAACGGGCAGCTTCTGTCCGGAGGTGAGATGGGAAGGCAGAGAGGGTCAGAAGCTGGTTGAATGGACATGGGGAATCGGGTGGAAAGGAGGAGTGTGTTGTCACAGTATGGGGAGAGCAATTAGGGTGACATAACAATGTATTTATAAATTTTTGTATAAGAGAATAACTTGAATTGTAACCTTTCACTTAAAGTATAACAATAAAAAAAAAATATATATATATATATAAAACCCCTCTCCTTAGCGTCTATGACCTAATAGGCCCCTGGTACTCCCCCTCTTCTGGCGGCGCCTTCTTTATAGGGGGCTACTGGATAAATGGCGAATTCCTCCAGGTTCTCTCCTGGGCTCTCCCCCTCTCAAAGGCCTTGCATGAAGCAGCCGCCCAACAATGACCGCGCCTGCCCCGTCACTCTCTCTCCCTCAAATGGCTCACTCCCATTGGCACACACGTGCTGTCCTTTCCTACCCCCAGTACAGAATGCCCCCCTTTACCACACGGTCTTCTCAGGGTACTGTTTGATTTCTCTCCTCGCCTTTGCCGATGAGCTTCTTGCAAAGCTGTGTACGTGTGTCTTCTCCAGTCCCTCTCCTCTGTTTCTCTCTTGCCGTCTCTCCACATGGGTGCTGGCCCTCACCATACCTCTGATGGCTGCTCTTCTTCACCAGTGACTTCTGCACTGTCACCTCCTATAAGCCTGCTCTCATACCTGATCTCTCAGTAGTCACGAACATTACTATTGTCATTGTTAGGTGCCGTCGAGTTGATTTTCCACTCATAGCAACCCCATATGATAGAGTTGAATTGCCCCATAGGGTTATTTGTATTTATTTATTTATGTATATTGTTCTTTAAATGAAAGTTTATAGTTCAAGTTAGTCTCTCATACAAAACTTTATACACACTCTGCTAGGTGACCCTAGTTGCACTCCCCATACTGTGATAGCATACTCCTCCTTTCCACCCTGAATTTCCCATGTCCATTCAACCAGCTCCTGTCCCCATAGGGTTTTTCAGCCTGTAATCTTTATAGGAGCAGTTCGCCAGGCCCTTCTCCACCAAGCTGCTGTGTGGGTTTGACCCGCCAACCTTTAGGATGGCAGCCGAGCTCTTAACCCTTGCGCCACCAGAGCTCTTTATGAACACTATTACATCCTGAATTACTCGGCTTCTGTGACCCCCCTCAGTCTCCTAGTCTTCCTCTTCCCTCTGGTACCAATCTCCAGGGCTGTGCAGTTTCTCTTCTGGAATCTTCTTCATCCCAGCAGATAAACCAGATTTACTTAGGACTTTACCAAACTGCCACCTATACTCAAGATGTAGTTTCTACAACAGAAATAAAACTATAAATGAACCCCAATTACTGTATTTTACTACTGGTATTATTCGTTGGTAGTTGCTCTTGAGCTCCAGCTCCAGCTTGATTTTGCGCTGATCCTCTGCGCCCTCCTGTGATGCTTGCGGAGTGCCTAACGTGCACCAAGTGCTGTGCCTGCGGCCGACGCTCCGTCTATGACCGCCACTCCCTCGGGCAACATGGCATCTCCTCTCCAAGCCCCCTCCAAGACTGCTGCAGGCTAGTGGCAGTGACTCGCTATCCTCCGTTCCAGCTGTGAAGGTCATGTGGAGAGTTCACTGGTGAACTTAAGTACATTTTCCTCATCTTCAGTCTTGTTCTGACCTTGATTAGAATCCTGGGTTCTATATAATTCAGTTCTCTGAATTTTAAAAACTGCCAAGTGACTGGAAAAATCAGAATTGTTTCAAAGGATAGTAAAACTATGGTAATGTGAAGGAGTTAGAGATTATTTAATCTAGAAAAGCAGATGAATAGGGATAACTACTGGGAAATTATTTTTGTGAGAGATTAACTAGATTTTTAGCTCTCTAGAAAACAGAATTCACTCAGGCACATAGTAATCTTTGTCATCCTGTTGTTATTGTTAGGTGCAGTCAATACTTTTTTCCCCCATACAAAAATTTATATATACATTGTTATACATACATTGTTACGTTAATTGCTCTCCCCATACTGTGACAGCACACTCCTGCTTTCCACCCGATTCCCCATGTCCATTCAACCAGCTCCTAACCCTCTCTGCCTTCCCATCTCACCTCCGGACAGAAGCTGCCTGTTTAGTCTCTTGTATCTACTTCAGCTAAGAGGCACACTCCTCACGAGTATCACTTTATGTCCCACAGTCCAGTCCAATCCCGGTCTGAAGAGTTGGCCTCGGAAATTGTTTTAGTTCTGTCCTGATAGAGAATCCAGGGGCCATGCTTTCCAGGGTTCCTCTGGTCTCAGTCAGACCATTAAGTCTAGTCTTCTTATAGAATTTGAGTTGTGCTCCCCACCTTTCTTCTGCTCCATCCAGGGCTCTCTGTTGTGTTCCCTGTCAGGGCGGTCATTGGTGGTAGCCAGGCACCATCCAGTTCTTCTTGTCTCAGGCTGATGAAGTCTCTGGTTTATGTGGCCCTTTCTGTCTCTTGGGCTACTACTTTCCTTGTGTCTTTGGTGTTCTTCATTCTCCTTTACTCTAGGTGGTTGGAACCAGTCGATGCATCTTAGATGGCTGCTTGAAAGCTTTTAAGACCGCAGATGTCACTCACCAAGGTAGGATGCAGAACATTTTCTTAATAAGCTTTGTTATGCCAGTTGACCTAGATGTCCCCTGAAAGCATGGTCCCCAGACTCCTACCCCTGCTACTCTGTCCCTCAAAGTGTTTGACTGAATTCAGGAAACTTCTTAGCTTTGGTTTAGTCCAGTTGTGCTGACTTCCCCTGTAGTGTGTGCTGTCCTTCCCTTCACC